TAAATGTATTAAGAAATTTAAAAACAAAATTAGGTTTCAATCTGAATTTAACTTTTACACCAAAGTCCTAGATTTCTCTAGCACGCTAGAACGACTTTAATCATGCTTTGATAGACTATTATATACCAGGTTAAATGCTCAGGAGAAAAATTCAGGACTCTGGAGACTTCCAAGTCTGTCTTGCCATTATTCTGATTGGAATATCAAATTCTCTAAGAAGCTCTGTTACTAACACACGTATCTTCGAACTAATGGTATCAAAACATCAAATAAAGGCAGAACAATTTATGGTTATCTTAAAACAAATTTGTCAGTTTTATTTAATAAAAGTGATTACTAAATGGTTCAAGGATGAACATGGGTGTGTATAATACTCAAAGAAAGTTTTGTAACACTTCCATTGAGATTGAAGGTAAAAGAAGTTACCCTCCCATTTTTCTCATTTTTTGCGAGGGAAATGTTACCCTCTTCATATGAAATTAATTATGCCATCAGATTCACCACTTTATCTATTTTGAATTTTTTAACTAGACCATGTGCAAAAAAATTGTTAAAATTGTGACTTTCAATTTTGACTCATTCCCTCAAAGTTTGCGAACAATGTAGCTGTTTGAAATTGACATAACTGTAGTACTTTTGAATACACAAATGATTGAAGATTAAAAAATCACAAACTTGAAAAATAAAGCGAGTTGCTATACTTTTTTTAGTAGTATAGATCCTAGAAAATAACACCTTCTAAATGTTGTGCATCCGAAGCGCTCTTCTGGATTTAACTTTATCAGGAACACTCAATCCCAAATATTTGGAAGCATGGGATGTATAAATACTTAGAAACGTTGGTAGCTCTATGACGAAAAAAGACATAAAAAGAATAGCCAAATTCATCAAAGATCAACTTTGACCGAAGGAGAGAGAACCTTGGTTTCTAGATGATTTCTTATTTCTCTACGAGGAGTTAGAAAAGTATGCTAAAAATCAAATTACATGTAGTACCAAAGCACTATAATATTGTAGGACGATAATTAACACATTCTTCAATTTATGAACTCTTGGGATAAATTTGCACTTAACAAGTAACCAACAAATGAATGGAGTAATTCGTTCTAGAATAGCAAATTATTTACCAGTAAGGTCAAACAACAAATATGTGTTTAGCTTTAAAAAAAGGAGGTTAGGTTGGAAGATGTTTTATTATGATCATATGAAGTCTTTGAGAAAACCTTGCACTAAAACCCGTATCGTGTAAAGATTTTGTTTATATAGTATATAAGTATACGTCCAATATAAACTAAGGCTATATACATGAACAAGCATTTTGTCATATAGTTTGTAACACACAAGAACCGCTTATCAGAACGATTTCTTATCTTCAGACATTTGAGTAGATCTGGAATCATTTCCAGAACATTTAGATAACAATGTTCCAAAATAATCAAACATCAGTGTAAATTGGTATCCTATAATGCACGAATGTAGTAAAATGTTATGATAATTGTTTTCAAAACAAACACATTTCAAATAAATCAGTAATCAGTATATTTCCCTTATCTTCAGCGTTTGTATCTCATATAAATAAACAGACTGAGATTGCACTGAGGCAACAACAGAATATTGAGAAAGTAAAATGTTTAATCTCTTTACGTTTTCATCACAGCGGTAGAATTTGTAATTGCTTTACAATTTTTAATTCTTAACCTTCCAGATCACCTCAGTTCATCTCGTGTTTTGTATAAGGTTTATGTTGCTCAATTGTTTATCCTCTGTGTATTGTCTTGTGTATGGTTTGTGTTGCTTAATTTTTTATTCTCTATGTAGCCTTTTGTTTAACGTTCGTGTTGCTTTATTTCTTTTTTCTTTGTATTTTTCACATAATTGTATAAGGTTCATGTTGCTTAACTATTTGTTCTTTTTGTAGTGGTTTTTATAAGGTCTGTGTTGCTTAATTGTTTTTTCTCTGTTTACTATAGTGTTTTGTATAAGGTTTGTGTTGCTTAATTGTTTGTTCTCTGTTTAGTGTTTTGTATAAGGTCCGTGTTGCTTAATTGTTTGTTCTCTGTGTAGTGTTCTGTAAAAGGTCCGTGTTGCTTAATTGTTTGTTCTCTGTGTAGTGTTTTGTTATTGTGTGTCTTTTCGTCGTTTTTCTTTTTGACCATGGTTTTATTTGACTTATGTATTTGAGTGGTCCTCTTGGTATCTCTTTTTGATGAAGCTATTGTTGGATATGTTAAAGTAAAAAATTCAGTAAAAACAACTAAATAAAATAAAGCAACTATAAGTCACCATACAGCCTTCAATGTTGAGCAAAACCCACACCTTATGATCTGCCATAAAATTCTCCGACATGAAAAAATGTGAAACAATTCTAACGAGAAACGTTTTGTTGATTTGTTAGACAACATACAATGTACTTTTTGTCGTCTTCCGATTTTTGCCATAGCGCTGTAACATTCTCTTCGACTTGTGGGTTTCTGATGTCCCCTTTGTATCTTCCGCCTCATTTGTTAGATACATCTTCGTGTGAATCTCATAGTGCTAAATGTCCACTTTTGATGAAAATGGAGATAACTATATATTTGAGATCCAAGTGCATTGGTATATCTCCCTATACAACTATAATACGAGATTTCTACACTCTACGAGTTTTTGTCAGAACAACACTGTATAACATTATTTTTATTTTAATAGTGTTATATTTCAACTATTTCTCAAGTATTTTTGCTGCTAAATAATTGTAATCAAAATTCTTAGTAGTACTATGAATAAATGATTTGCATGGTTTGAACTCAATCTATGAGCAATTCTTAGCAAATCTAGCAGTACAGAATTGGGGATATTACAAAGTTTAAAAACATCCTTGGTCTATCTCCAACGGAAACATAGGGATACATTTCTAAACTACATCGTTTGTAGGGAAATGTTTTATCTCTAAAAAGGGGGATGCTTTATTTATCTAAGTTGCTTGTCTAGTAAAAAAATCGAACAAAGAGTTACTCTTCATGTACGTAAATTCGATTCTTATACAACTTTTTATGTCTCAGTCAAATATTTATGATATTGCGCTTTTAAACTTTGATTACAAAATGGGAAATACATCATTATAAGATTCACACGATGACATGTAGATTGTCAATATGTATGGTTAGCATCAAGCCGTTATAGATTTTTCTGCTGCCAAATGATGTCGAAGTCTTTTTTACAGCGCCTGTTTAACGAGCGTTTCTGGTGAGACGTTCAACCTTTATATTTGCAGTTGAGTCCCTAAAAATCTACACCAATACAATTAACAGAAATAGCCCAAAACCTTTAAAAGTAGGTCCCTTCATCGATGCATGCTATGCATGAAATATTTGCCACTTGACGTTAAGCATCCAACAATCAATCAATCAAGCGATGCATGCTAAACAATAGGCAACACTAAACAATACTGTTGATTATTTTCATAATTATAATTTGATAATAATTATATTATCATAGTTTTCATAATTATGACAATATACATAAGTGCTATAATTTTTTATATAATATGTGATATTTTCTGTGAATAAAGATTTTGCCACTTTTAAGAAATTAGAAGACAACACATAGCATTAAAAAAAGCTGTAAAGCGTCCACTAGTTGATTATGTCATTGTTACGCATTATAAATATTACAGTGTAAGAGTATCAAAATTGTTTTATTTCGGAAGTTTGGACTCCAAACAAAACATATTTCTCATATTTTGTCATATGGTATTTTATAATTTTATACATCTTTCTACACTGGTTCTGTGCCGCTGCGGATGGACTGCAAGTCACATATGGTATCACTCACCCGGTTCGCTAGTGGTTTATTTTGATTCACGGTTTTTCAACTTGTGATAGTTTTAGATTTCCAACATTTGCTTGTTGTCAAACTATTTTTAAGACTACACTGGGGAAACATATTTAATATGTGGAATGAAAGAAAAAGAATTATAAGAACTTTAAGAAAACTGCCTAAAAAAAATAGCAAAAATAAATGACCTTTCTCGTTTTCTTTGGGCTTGTTAGGGAACGACCATTTAACTTCAAGGATGGGGGTGTTATGGTTTTTTCCTAAAAAAAATATTCTGATCCCCAATTCGATGAAAAAAAATATTGTGGTTAAGCAGATGACAAAAATAAATATTCTGAATCCAGCTTTGCGCGAAAAAAAATTTTCTGACTCAGACAAAAAACCATTACCCTCCCCACCCCCACCCCTTTGAAGTTAAATGGTTGCTCCCTTGACAAAATAGATAAACTTGCAGTACACTTTCATTTAATCTATCATTTGAATTGTCTGAACTCATAAGGCATTTTCTTTGATTTTTTATATCAAACAGCAACTTATGTATCTTTATTTCAACGAAAATTCAAACACTCATATTACTCCTATATTCAAGCACCAATACCTCATCTTTCTATTGACTATATTGAATATTACTACGCATGTGCAGCTTTTGGGTAACTTAATGTCAGGGATAGATGAACATCCCCTAAAATTCGACTTGTTAATGTTTTAATGAATGAAATCTGGAAAGGAAGACAAAACTGTCAAAATGACAAAAACTAGGTGTATGGTTCGTCTTCAGAATGGGCCTTGATGGTTTTAGTAGTACAGCTACCGAAATCCGATCGTAGTAGATGCGTTTAACAAAGATCTTAATTGACTAGGAATGCCAGTTTTTCTACCGAAGATCAGTGCTTCTCTCCCGGTACTCCAACTTCCTCCGTAAATAAAAAAAAATGCTGGCATGATATACCCAAGTGTACAAAAACAGGTATCCAACGATTCGGAAGTAACCTCTCTCCAATAGACAGTTTCAATTCTGTTCATGCATACATGAAAAGAATGTTCGAATAAACAAAATAATTGCAGACAATTATGAATATTTTTCATTTAGGCAAAATATATTGTTCACAGATAATAGTACATGCTAAAATATACGGAGTTGAAATCCATTTTTTATTTCAATGTAAATAATAAGGAAGGTGAAAGAGCGATCATTTTTATTTGAAAATATCAGATTTGACGAACAGGAGTGAAAATTTAAAGAACAAGGGCAATAAATTGAAAATGACTTTCGCCTCACAATTTTAATCAAGAACTAAAAGAGCGATTAAATCGCTGAAACAACAAATTGATTTTGCGTGGCCTAACGTGATTACTTTTAAATAGTACGTTGACTTCAAGACATAGTGAAATGTTGAGAATATTCATATAATTAAATCAAAACAACATCAAAATATTTCCACAGTATCTATAAACTGTTGGTAGCCTGCACAAACCATGATACAAATTGGCAAAAGTATGATATGTGTAATACTATTGTGTGCCTCATCGCCTCTTATCTGTAGAACAATTTTCGTCTCCTACACGAAGCTCTACAATCTTTTCTAAAATTTGCGTTGCAAAACGAATAAATAACCGGATTCACCGCACAGTTTAGTAAATAAGATCTGTACAAAGCTTCGTACACTGTGTCATATTCTCCTTTATAAAGCAACGGAACAATAGGGGATATGGATCGTTGTATAACAACTCCAAGAAATGGAAGAAAGCTTAAAATATAAACCATAGTCACAACTAACAGCATAAGAGTGGTCTTACCTAAACGATGTGCTCTTAAACTCCTTTTGGAAGGCCGCATTTTACTTTTGCTTGATCCATTCAAGGACATTTCTCCTGTATTACTACGCGTTTGTGATACCTTACGCTTACGTTTGGTTTTATTTCGGTTCTCTGATGTGTTTTCATTTTTTGAACTGTCTTTGCTAGAAATTTCCGGCGAATGATTAGGCGAAGGAACGTCCAGACTGTTGTTTTTTTTCATCGTTTGTTTTGTTTTCTGTTTCGATTCTTCTGTTTCTTTATTCAAATTGTTATTCAACACTCGGTTCCTTGTTTTATCGTTTTCTTTGTTTTTATTTTCGATACATTCGGGATTATTCTGTGGATTAGAAATGACACAATGTTCATTCCGAGCATTATACTTTTGTTCGTGTACAGCACCATATTCGTTCATAACTTCTTTGCAATCTATAAGACCGTCAACATTTAAAAAGCCATTTGGTTTTATGTCGTCTTCGTCAGTCTTCATCAAGCGCTCCTGATGTTCGGAATCCATTACATTCGGATTTTCCTTTTCCTTTGAAGTTTCAGCCATGTTTTGGCTATTTTTCTGCACCGACGCAGCTGGTTCATACTGGAAACAATTTGATTCTTCAGTATGACAACACACGTTCAGACTGCGCGTGGAGCTGTGTACACTGGTAACTTGTAATGCGTTTGTATGATGCCCAATAGATGAGGGATGTTCTATGTGTATATCTGGCACCTCTTTATTAGATACAGATCGACGACCCATCAAACTAGAGAAGTTCTTGCGCCTCACCATTTTGATAACAATACTTATGTATGATGCTAGCAGAATAAAATATATTCCACATGTAGAGAAACACATATAAGAGTAATAGATAAGTGGATAAACCGTCAGAACGTGAGAATCGTCTATTTCACATATTTGACGTGTAACGTTTGCACTTTCAGTACTAATAGTTCTTTGCCCATATATCATTAGAGACGGCCATGTAAAACTAACGGACGTCATAAATGCCCAGAATGCCATTCGTTTCGCTCGTTTGAGAGTAAATTGTTTCCCATGGGGTGTACATACCCGTTTGTATCTGTCCACCGCAATGGCGGCAAGGATAACAGCGGCAGCACTGTTACACGTATATGTGGTAAATCTGGACATTTTGCATACGGGTCCTATGTTGAAAACAAACGGATTCAGCAACATTACAATTTCTGTCGGTAACGTTGCCGTGCAGTTTACCAAATCAAATACAGCCAGAACTAAAATGAATACAGTCGTGGAATTTTTTCTCGATTTTTTGGAATAAACAAAAAACACCAATACATTTCCGGGAATGCCAATCACAAATAAAAGTGAAGTGTAAATTAATCCATAATAATTAATTGCTGTTACCCAGTTACTCTCTGTTGAATTTAATTCTTTAGAACTCGGAAACGTTGTATTTCCAACGATCGATGCTTTCACGTTGACACTCATTTTAACACTGACGGAATACTTAAACTTGCAGTCGTTAAATTAGATTTTATAAACTGGTCCCCCATGGATCCACGATAACAAAGTAGCAGTCGTAGCGACAAAAGCTGTCATTATTACTCCATCAGATTCAACTATTCTACGTGGGATTCAGTAATAGGGTCGAATGATCAATAATGTCATTGGTACAAATAAACACACAATTTTCCAGATTGTTTAATGTAATAAAATCAACATCATTATACCCTCATCAACACAAATGCAATATGTTATGCGGAATATTTGTAGTGTTGACTTTTATTTCCAAGATTTTAGATTAAATATTCTGTCCATTACTGTGTAAATTAAAAAAAAAACAGCGAGTGATGCATCAAAAATAATTCATTAAAATGTGTAAATTTATCGAGTATATTTAGTAATTTGACACAAACATATGGTCTATTGAAAATGATTACTTCAAATCAATATTAATAATTAATGCTATATTTTTTACTAAAAGAAACGATTGATACATTCAAATTATGAATATTCCCAACGTGAAACATATAATTTAATGTTGTTCAACAGATGTCATTTAATATGCCGCAATGGGATATTATGAATAATATCCCGATACACAAGTTTATAAGGTTTTCAATAATTCAACATATCAATTTCAAAAGGACTTTATCATGTTTATGAACATAATTTAAATTGCATTGCGTTGCGAAATACTGATCGTAAAAATAATTTTTTCTATCCTGAAGCTATTTTATAGTAATTTCAATGTTATATAATCCAGCAGATTCATGTAATTTTTCCCAAACAGTAAAATAATCTCTGCATGACTAAAAGTAACATCTGCGCAATTTTTATGCCTGCTAGTCAAGCACGGAAGTCACAAGTACGTTAGTAAGCGTATGACTATTAAAAGACCGATTATATGTTTGCAGTAAAATGCTTGAATCAGATATTTTAAAATAGTATGCAAACTCAATTTCAACAGTGTGAACAAATTAGCTTTCCAAGTTAGTATGAATAAAAAGAGATACGGGCCTACGTTTATGAGACAACAACCTAGCAATACAACAAAACCATGAAAAAAAGGCATCTAGAGGTCAACATACATATGGTTTTCAACAATATAAAATGTCTATACCATGGATATGTTAAGCTTTAAATCGACTTTGAGTGTAGAGAATAAACTTAACAAAATCTACAATACATATTTCACCAAGAAGGAACGTTCTGGCGAAAACAACATTAAACAGAAGTTGATATACCTACAGACATGAACGAAGGCACAAACTGATTAGGATTCATTTTAAAGTTGTTTTCACAACCCGTAATTCTGGAAGAACATCCGACTCTAAATTTCAACCTAACATTCATTAAGTTTTAGTCTAATCGCTATCCTCACCTAACCTTATCCCTTCCCTCATCAATAAATCGAACCCTTATTCAACTTTCACCACTTTTGATCTACCCTATCTGCTATTGATGTTTTTGTCGTTACCATGACAATAACCCTTACCCTAACTAAATCCTCATCCTTTACCTTAATGATATCAACTTTAAATTCTAAAATGAACAAAACCCTAACCAAAACTCAAGACTCGCTCTACTTTGTCTTAATCCTGATATCAAATCAAATGAAGACGGTAAAAACAGTCTCTGCACATGAATTTCAAAACATTTGGATCCAATAAGATGCGTAATTGGCATTCAATCATACAAATCGTAAACAAACGTCTGATTGTTTGTTCACCAAACAACTGTTTACTAACAACATGTGCACATATCATCCAGTTAGAAAATGGACGAACGAAATTACTTGACCAGAGGAGATTATTCATTCTAAATCTCAGGAATGTTATTATAGTACGTAATGGATTATGAACAATTTAGTAATCTTACCATCAATTTTATGTGCAAGATTTTCACAAAACTTTTACGAGACAAAACAATCGTAAGTCATAAACATTCCAGTATAACTTACAATCAATTTTTATTTAAGATTTTTTGTGAAAAGAGCCACTATCATAAACTTAAGAAACTTATTGGATAGGATCTGTATTTATAATTTGAAAGTCACAAGCAATCAATACAATAAGCATTTATCTATGAAGTCGACTTGTTGCTTGAAGATAGATAATCATTTTAGATAGAAACATAAATACTAATTTAATGTTATCTCCAGAATGAATTGATTTTAAATTAACCAGATGTAGTTATACTTTAAAATGGAAATCATAATTGCAGCATTTTTGTTGAGATCATAAACACTTATATATCCCAACATTGGTCATGGCATGCAAAAAAAACCCACCCATTTGCAATGCGTTTGCCGAGCGTTTTTAATACATGTTTTGGGTATCTAATTTTCGATTGTGGATAAGTATCTTCTCAAACAAAATACAGTGTTACATGGAGTCTATTTTTCTAATGGTCTTGTGATAAATATGTAGATAAATTTTAAAATATTATTTCCATGATTTTAAAAAAAATGGGTTTTTTTTGCAAGAAGCAATTAGGCAAAGTCGCATTTTTTTCCATGTCATAATATCAAAATAAAAAACGGGCAAGCCAGTTTGACATCATAAGTGAATAATGATTAAAGAAAAACGGAGAACAAACAAACATCAAATGGATTATATAAAATCGGTCGGGGAAAGTGTTTATCTGAAAAACCAAAGGCAAACATGAGAGATTGCTTCAGTATAAAAAAAAAGTCACATCACAAGAAACAGTTAATGTGCGTATTGTTATGCGTTTACTTTTCTACATTGGCTAGAGGTATAGGGGGAGGGTTGAGATCTCATAAACATGTTTAACCCCGCCGCATTTTTGCGCCTGTCCCAAGTCAGGAGCCTCTAGCCTTTGTTAGTCTTGTATTATTTTTAATTTTAGTTTCTTGTGTACAATTTGGAGTTTAGTATGGCGTTCATTATCACTGAACTAGTATATATATTTGTTTAGGGGCCAGCTGAAGGACGCCTCCGGGTGCGGGAATTTCTCGCTGCATTGAAGACCTGTTGGTGACCTTCTGCTGTTGTCTGTTCTATGGTCGGGTTGTTGTCTCTTTGACACATTCCCCATTTCCATTCTCAATTTTATTGTCGAAGTAAATTTACGTTTTCATTATAATCGCTGTTAAAAACGATAAAACGATATGTTTTCATCATTATTAATGGGAAGTAAAAATCAATGACCTTCAGTCTGATGACCGCTTTACAGGTAAAACGACTTTTAATGAAGAAAAAAACATATCATTAAGCTTCAATTAGCTTTTCATACATACTTTTAACAGAAATAAAGCTACAAGATGATTTAACAATTAAATGCGTGTTAACCAGGTCTATATCGATAATCAAATTGACAGGAAATTGTTCTTACCAGTTTCGTTCATCCTTTGAACAAATCTTATATCCTTAAGTTGACAAGTGTTATATGTCTGTAAATACTGTAGAAAGATTGCGACAGTCTGGGGAAGGGAAAGTTAATTACAAAGCCGGAAAATGGATAGAAAATGTCATTCACTGATTCTCTTTTCTCAATAAAACAAACAGGATAACGCCAAGAAACTGGTAAACAGTAGTGTTAAGAGTAAATACTGGTTAACTCAGAGACATGCAATTGTCTACCGGTAGTGTAAAGAAGAAGAGGAGAATACAAAAGGAATAGTAGTTCTCATAAATCGAAGACATACTTACAACGACGTCGACGTGGCAAAAAAAAAACCGAAAAGACAAACAACAATCTACAAAACGCAGCATAGAAAACAAAAGACTGAGCATCACAAACCCCATCATAAACCAGGGGTGATCTCAGCTATTGCGAAACGATAAGCGGATCCTGCTCCACATGAGGCACCCGTTAAGTATTAATTCTGCGTATGTACTGTAACCTTAATTATCTTACCTCCTATATTTGTAGGAATATGATTGGTTAAAAGCGACTGCGTTGAGACCCTGTATATTAAATATGGGATAGGTGGGCGTATTTTATTTTTAATAAATGTACATGGCTAGTAGTGGTGTAAAGTCCCTTTATACATTCAAGATGGCGTCGAAGAGAAATATGAAACGATTATAGGTTTATGCCAAAAATACATTGAAGGCAAACAAAAAGTGTGCAAATCCACTGCGGGAATATCTTCAGGAGAAAAAAAAAGGACTATGCCTTTGAAAATTTTGATTGTGTGCGCCTAAATGAGACTGTGTCATTTTAATGTCGATCTACGTAATCCGATACAAAGCATCGTCACTGGAGTCAATAAGACATGGCTTAAACAGACATATAAAGGCTCCTCCTCACAGTAAATCATTTGATATAGTAAAGGATTCTGAATTTAATGACAGTCACACAAATTTTAAAGCCATGTTGGCAAAAGTGAAACGTTTTGGACTGGGTGACATTGAACATCATGATATTTGACTTTTTTTTTGCAGAAGAGGTCAAGAAAAACATGTATACCATGACTAAAACACGTTTACAATTAAAACCGACAACAAGACAGGACTCAAATACGTCACAAAGGCAAAATATGAGCTAACAGAGAACCAAAGAGAATCGGACAAGGAGCTTGTATCTGAAGTTATGCCAGAATCACCAGGTGAAAGTATAATTAAAAAAAATCAAAGAAAAAAGGGGGAATATATACATGTACCATGGGACAATAAAGAGCACAAGTCGAATTATAAAACCATGACAAAAAGAAAAACCACGAAAAGACAAACAACAGCCCACAAAACACTACACTAAACAACAAGTTTGAGCAACAACTATATATATGTTATAGTCAACAATATCTGATTATGGACTGAAATATATGATTGTAAACTCAAGAAATATTGTCATTGTTTTCCACATTTTCACTTTAAACTAATGAAATTCCTTGAAGTCTATAGTAGGCATGAGAACTATCTTGATACAAAACCTGAACTTACTTAATTGATTCCTTTATATTTTTTACAAATCACTCAATACGAGCAATTGGAGAAATAGTGTTATCAAAAAATATGTAAGGATCTGCCCAAATTATGGCCGTCACGGGAAATAGTCTGTACAGTCACTGACAACTTATCAGGGTGTTGATACAGATAGGTGAGAAAATTGAAATAGGTAAAACTATATCTGACAATCTTGTCCAAAGAGCAGTCATTGCTTCTAACCATAGTTCCGGTAATTCGACATTTACGGAACAATTACAGGATATTGATATTGACGATATTTTAGGAGAGTTTGAGGACAATGTGCCAAAACCAATTTAATAAAGACAAACAACGACATGTATGCAGCCGAAACCTCAGAGTCAGATCTTCTATGGCAATGTAAGTGTAATACATAATCTAACCATCAACAAGTAGTTTTGATGAAT